CGCGACGCTTTCGCGGGGCAGCCGGTCCTTGGGCCATGGAGGCGGGAATTCGCCATCGTCGTCGGCACGGCGCATGGCCCCATATCTGGCGTCGCCGCCGAAAACGGCGCAGACGTCGGCCGGGGCGTTTGGCGCAAGGGAGCGCAGTGCAACCAGGGTGGGAGTTGGCCCAAATGACCGCAGAATCGGGGTTCGCACTAAATCGCAAAGGTGAACTGCGATTGACTACAGACGCACCCGGAAAAGATCCTGGGCCAGCCAGTGTCCCCGCCAGCGCCTGGTCACCAGGTGCCTTGCCAGACCGGCGGGCCCAGGGCGCTGTGCCGCCCATTCGCCCCGTTCGCCCAGCAGTGCGCGTGACAGCCGCTGGTGGTGCCACGCGCAGTGCGGCAGTTGGCTGAACGGGAACCGCCCCGACGAGGTCCCGGAGCATTGCCAGGGGGGCGGCGGCGAGAGGCGGCGCCAAGCGCGCAGCCGCCCAGGCGGGCGGGCGTGAAGGCGGAGCTGGGGGCGCGCGCTGCACGCGGGCCGAAGACGGCCGACTGCCCCCACCCACCCACAGACAGGCTGCGCGAAGAGGCCTTCCCCGCCAACGCAATCCTGGCAGTTCCCTCCTCCTCCTCCTCCTCCTCCTCCTCCTCCTCATCCTCCTCCTCTTCCTCATCCTTCTCATCCTCCCCCGCCTCTTCCCCCGCCTCCATTCCTTTCTTCATATACATCCTCCCCGTTCCACCCCGAGGCTGGTCGAAAGGGAGGGCCAGGCATTTCGCCTGAGATTTCCCCACCACTTATGACTCTGACGCTGGACTTTCATTAAACATCGACAACAGCTTCGCAGATGGAGGGCGGGCAGTTTTCAAAATGTGGCTCTCGGCTGAGCGCCACTCGCATTCGTTTAAAAGTTGCAAGAGCTCCACGGATTGAGGGCGGGTGGTTCTCAAAATGTGGCTCTCGCCTGAGCGCCGCGCACATTCGTGTTAAACATCTGCGAGAATTTGACGCATTGATGGCAGGTCGTTTTCAAACTGTGGCTCTCGCCTTAGCGCCACGCACATTCGTCTTCAAACACTGCAGCAGCCTCACGCTTTGAGGACCCTTGTTTAAACATGTGGTTATCGCCTTAGCGCCGCGCGCACTCGTCTTCAGCATTGGTGATAACTTCACGGATTCCCATGGTCAACGTACCAAACATGATGTGTTGGAACGACTCACGATTGTCAGGGGCACAACAATGAAGTTGATTCACGGAGTTGAAGGCCCAGGAGTGATGTTCTGGCACGATTCAGGATCGCCAAGACGCAACAGTCAGTTGACTCGTGGCGTTGGAGTCCGAAAATGTTGTCTTGGCACGCTTCAGAATTCCCAACCATCCTGTGGTGTTGGGTCCTCACTCCTCCTCCCGCTGCCCTCCTCCCTCCTCCATCATCATCATCATCATCATCATCATCATCATCATCATCGTCATCATCATCACCATCACCATCGTCATCGTCTTCGTCACACCCCTCACTCGGAGCCTCACTCGTTTCGTGGCCCCATAGGGAGCTCCACCGAAGGCCCCATTGCCACCGTCCACATGCGTCCCCCGTACCAATTTCGGCACACCCCTCACACGCTTCGTGGCCCCATGGGGAGCTCCGCCGAAGGCCCCATTGCCACCGTCCGCGTGCGTCCCCCGCACCCTTTTCGCCACGCCCCTCACACGTTTCGCGGCCCCATAGGGAGCTCCACCAAAGGCCCCAATGTTACCATCCACATGCGTCCCCCGCACCCATTTCGGCACACACCTCACACGTTTCGTGGCCCCATAGGGAGCTCCACCGAGGGCCCCAGTGCCACCGTCCACACGCGTCCCCCACACCAATTTCGGCACACCCCTCAAGGGAAGAAGGCCGATCCCAACCACTTCTGGCCGATCCCAACCACCTGGGGCGGATTCCAATCACCGAACAGGAGCCGATCCCAACGCGAAGGAATCCTACAACAATTCTACCAGAGCCTCTGCTTCTGCAGAACTTCTGCAGAGCCTCTGCAGTGCCTCTTCTTCTGCAGAACTTCTGCAAAGCCTCAAGGTAGTAGTGGTAGTACAAGTAGTAATCGTAGTAGTAGTAGTAGTAGTAGTAGTAGTAGTAGTAGTAGTAGTAGTAGTAGTAGTAGTAGTAGTAGTGGTAGTAGTAGTAGTAGTAGTAGTAGTAGTAGTAGTAGTAGTAGTAGTAGTAGCAATAGTAAGTCATAGTAGTAGTAGTAGTAGTCGAAGAAGTAGTAGTAGTAGTAGTAGTAGTAGTAATAGTAGTAGTAGTACTTGCAGTGGTAATCGTAGTAGTAGTAGTAGTAGTAGTAGTAGTAGTAGTAGTAGTAGTAGTAGTAGGTTAGTAGTATTAGTAGTATAGTAGTAGTAGTAGTAGTAGTAGTAGTAGTAGTATAGTAGTAGTAGTATAGTAGTAGTAGTAGTAGTAGTAGTAGTAGTAGTAGTAGTAGTAGTAGTAGTAGTAGTAGTAGTAGTAGTAGTAGTAGTAGTAGTAGTAGTAGTAGTAGTAGTCGTAGTAGTAGTAGTAGTAGTAGTAGTAGTAGTAGTAGTAGTAGTAGTAGTAGTAGTAGTAGTAGTAGTAGTAGTAGTAGTAGTAGTAGTAGTAGTAGCAGTCGTAGTAGCAATAGTAATAATAATAGTAATGGTAGTCGTCGTAGTCGTGGTACTGATGATAGTATGCATAGTAACAGAAGTAGTATTAGTAAGAGTAGTAGTACTAGTAGTAGTAGCAGTAGTAGCAGTAGTTGTTGTAGTAGTGGTGGTAGTAGTAGTAGTAGTCGTAGTAGTAGTAGTAGTAGTGCTAGTAATAATATTTGTCGTAGCCGTAATAGTAGTAGAAGTAGTCGTAGGCGTAGAAGTAGTAGTAGTAGTAGTAGTAGTAGTAGTAGTAGTCGTAGTAGTAGTAGTAGTAGTCGTAGTAGTAGTAGTAGCAGTAGTAGAAGTAGTCGTAGTCGTAGTTGTAGTAGTAGTAGTCGTATTTGTAATAGTAGTGAACGTAATAGTAGTAGTACCAGTAGTAGTAGTAGTAGTAGTAGTAGTAGTAGTAGTAGTAGTAGTTGTAGTAGTAGTAGTAGTAGTAGTAGTAGTAGTAATAGTAGTAGTAATAGTAGTAGTAGTAGTAGTAGTAGTAGTAGTAGCCGTGATAGTGGTAGTAGTAGTAGTAGAAGAAGTAGTTGTAGTAGTCTTGGTAGTGGTAGTCGCAGTAGAAGTGGGAGTAGTGGTAGTGGTAGTAGTAGTAGTAGTAGTAGTAGTAGTAGTAGTAGTAGTAGTAGTAGTAGTAGTCGAAGAAGTAGTAGCAGTAGTAGTAGTAGTAGTAGTAGTAGTAGTAGTAGTAGTAGTAGTAAGACTGGTAGTAGTACTGGTAGTAGTTGCGGTAGTAGTAATAGTAGTAGAAGTAGTAGTAGTAGTAGTAGTAGTAGTAGTAGTAGTAGTAGTAGTAGTAGTAGTAGTAATACTAGTGGTAGTAGTAGTAACAGTATTCGTAATAGTAATAATAACCGTAGGCGTAACAATCGCAGGCGCAATTAGTGTAATAGTAAAACTGACAATACAACAACTACACTTAGTCGAAACAAGAAAAAGGATACTAGCAGTAGGGATGGAAGCAGAAGCAGGAATAGACGCATTGGTGGCAGTAGTAGTAGTAGGGCTAACCGGGGGATGGTGGCCGGGGCGGCGTGGGGGGGGCGCGGGGGGGCGCGCGGGGGCGCGCGGGGCGCGCGAGGCGCGCGGGGCGTGCGGGGCCTCCTGGGAAGCCGTCTTAGGCTTCCTGAGAGGCCTCTTGGGTATCCTGGGAGGCTCCTTGGGCCTCCTGGGAGGCCTCTTGGGCCTCTCGAGAGGCCTCTTGGGCCTCCTGAGAAACCGCTTGGGCCTCCTGGGGGGCCTCTTGGGCATCCTGGGATGCCTCTTGGGCCTCCTGGGAGGCCTCTGGGGCTTCCTGGGAGGCTTATTGGGCCTCCTGGGAGGCCTATTGGGCCTCCTGGGAGGCCCCTTTAGCTTCCTAAAGCGTGTGTGGGCCTTCTGGGGAGCTTCTTGGGCCTCCTGAGGGGCCTCTTGGGCCTCCTGAGAGGCCTCTGTGGCCTCCTGAGAGGCCTCTGGGGCCTCCTGAGATGCCTCTTGGGGCTCCTGGGGGGCCTCTTGGGCCTCCTGGGGGGCCTGTTGGGCCTTCTGGAAGGCCTCTTGGTCCTCCTGAGAGACCTATTGGGCCTCCTGAGAGGCCTCTTGGACATCCTGAGAGGCCTCTTGGGCTTCCTGAGAGGCTTCTTGGGCCTCCTGGGAGGCCTCTTGGGCCTCCTGGGAGGCCTCTTGAGCCTCCTGAGAGGCCTCTGGGGCCTCCTGAGAGACCTCCGGGGCCTCCTCAGAGGCCTCTTGGGCATCTTGGTCATACGTCATCAAACATCCTACATCACCAAACATCATATATCATACAACATCACACATCATCAAACATCATACACCATACCTCATGTTACACAATCAAACGCCATACATCATAAAACATCATCATACATCATCGTGCACCATGCATCATACATCATATGGGACCATCGAACACAATACATCATAACACATAACCAAACACCATACATCATACTAGACCATCAAGCACTGTACACCATACATCATCATACACCATCAAACATCATGCATCGTACTACATCGCACACCATCAAGGAGTGCAAAGCTCGACGCTAGCCCCTGGGGAAGCGTCAGACTGCTCACCTCCAGGTGAGAGAGCGACGAGAGAGCCACAGGTGTGGATCCTGGACCCTAGCTGGTCCCTGGGCAGCTCTCAGAGACCTCCACAATGCGAGGCACCGGGGTGTCATCGCGCCAGGGCAGCGTGGGCGGCAGAAACACCAGGATCGACCCTCCCGTTGTCAGCTCAGAGGCTTTCCTTGCAAACCTCCGTGCGGCAGGCTTCGACATCTCAACCCCGCTTCATGTGTCGGTGGACAACGCCTTGGCAGCAATGGCGACCAGAGCGATCACGAACCATGCAGCAACGACCATGATCCCTTTGTCGCAGGAGGAAGAGAAGGGATTTTACAACGCAAGCCATGATCTGATTGTTGACTTTCTCACTCCCGCTTTGGATGCTCCCTCCAGCACCACGGTTGTGAACAACCTCCAGTACAAGCTTGCCGTTATGACCACGACAGAGGGGGTCAACTCAACGGCTCGCAAGGCCATTTTTTCCTGCTCTGCGGTCATCCTGAACCTTGGTGACGTCCCACGAGTGCGCATGACAAGGGACTCGAACCGGACCCGTCTCTCCCTCGGAGCACAGGCCTCAGTGGTCGCTATCCTGGCTGCAACCTCCACAGACCCGGGGCAGGTGGCGGCGGCTGTGTCGGGACACCACGGGTATCAGATCTCGGCGCTGGCCTTCCCGCCTCCTCCGAGCGTTGGCAAACTTGAGGCACTCTTCAGTGAGGGCTCTGACACCCCCATCGCCGAGGCCCATGCAGCCCTGGTCGACGCTGACCTCGGCACGATGTGGCGCGGATCCAAGATGGTCAGCCTGACCATGCTTGCACAGATCAACGGGCCCGGGAAGACTGCGGCGGCACTCCACAGCCTGGCGGCATTCAAGGGAGCAAATCCGTTCAAGGGCAAGCAGGCAGCCACAGGAGCAGGCACTGACGCCTCCGGTGCTCAGGGAGAGGGCGTGCCTGTCGCCCCCTCCATCCCCCAGGGAGTGGGGGAGCCCTCGGAGGCGCTCGCCGTGGTATCCACGGGATCCGTGACCAGCCTGTCCCCCACTGATGATGCGGAGGATGTCCCTGACATCTCGGACCTGGACCCCAGTGCGGACGCGGACAGGATCGATGAGCTCTTCATGGAGGCCAGAGAGGCCATGGAGCAGCAGTACCCTAGTGGGACCCTCGCAGGTGAGGAGGAGACCTCTTTCGTACAGGCCATGCTCTACTGCTCGTACATCCTGCTGGCTCCCGATGTCCCGCCAACTGCCATCAGCGCTGAGAAGTTCTTCACGATGGTGAAGTCCGTGACCCTCCCGTTGACCCTCGGGACGGAGCTCACAGTTGTCGCCAACATGCTTGTGAATGTCCTCGGGAAGAATGTGGGCAACCTGTCTGGGACCCGCCTTGTGAAGGCGCAGGATTACATGAACAAGAGGAGCTTCAACTATGCAACCATCTGTGGGACCGCAATGGCTCCGGTGGACTCAGTCTTCGCTCTGCCCGCCTCTCCCCGGCAGGCGAACCAGGTGACTTCTATGATGGACAAAGGCGCGATGTTGCAGACCATCGGCCTCCGGTACCTGCGAGAGAAGCTGGCGTCAACGAACCAGTTTGAGTCCAGCTTCGCCTCCAAGACGGCGTTGCTCCTTCGCTATGCACATCGGACCCACTTGCAGCAGCTGGTTGAGGTTGGCACACTCTTGTTCCCTGCCATCTTTGAGACACCAGAAGGAGCCGTGATCGCCCGCCGCATGCGGCTGGCCATGCGAGACCACTCCACGGTTCTTGACCCTGGGCTCTTCCCTTTCAGCGGGTTCGCCAAGACCCCCGGGCATGAGTACACGCAGACCAAGCACCTGGGTGCCCCCGGCGCAGCCGTCTTTAAGTACGTGAACAAGAAGGGCACGCGGTGGGAGGACTTCGCTGATGTGGAGTACATTGCAGAGGAGTCCCAGGTCCATGACCTCCTTGTGCTGATGGACGGGCTCCGACCGACAGTCTCCCGATTCGGCGCCAGTGGAGCCAGGCCCTCAGGAGTGATCGCAGCATTCAACCAAGAGGCGGCGGATGAGGGCCAGAACACCACGGCAGCCCCGGGTGGTGTCCCGACCCTCGCAGAGCTGGCCGGGGTGAGGGCCACCCCAGGGAGCTGACCGCAGGTGTGAGGATGCATCTACAGCTTCAATTGAGGCCCCTAGGAGGACCCTCAGACTTCTGCCCACAGCCTTGCGCAGAGCAGCACTCGACCACCTTTTGCCTTTCCCGACACCTTATCTGTACTCACGTTGAACGCGTTCTTGAAAAAAAACACACCATCAAACATCATACAGCAACCATCAAACATCAAACATCACCAACCATCATGCATCAAACATCAAACACCATACATAACCAACCATCAAACATCATCAAACATCAAACATCATACAGCATCATACATCAAACCTCATTCATCATCAAACATCAAACATCATACATCATCAAACACCAAACATCATACACCATTCAACATCGAACATTAAACATCAACCATCATGAATCATCAAACACCAAACATCAAACATCGCACATCAAACACCAACCATCATTAACCGTAAAACATTAACAATCATCAAACATCAACAAGCATCGAGCATCACACCTCGCACATCATCCAACATACATCATACATTATCAAACATCAAACATCATACACCAAACACCAAACACCATTAAACATCATAATCAAACACCAAACATCATTCAACATCATTTGTCATCAAGCATCAAACATCAAACATCGAACCCCATTCAACATCAACCACCAAACATCGTACACCAAGAACCACCATACATCCTACATAATCAAACACCATACATCAACCATCATACATCATCATACATCATTACACATTTTCATACAACATCATACATCATCATGCATCATTATACGACAGCATACATCATCATACATCACCATACATCATCATGCATCATCATACAGCATCATACATCTCTCATGAAACGCACACCCACACCCACACCCACACCGACACCCACACCCACAATCTTGTTTTTTGGTGTTAAAGCCGTTGGAAACGCGAAACCTCCATCACCACCCTTAAGTCGTCTCACGGACGAACTGCCCGGCCACCATCCCCCGGTCAGCCCTAGTAGTAGTAGTAGTAGTAGTAGTAGTAGTAGTAGTAGTAGTAGTAGTAGTAGTAGTAGTAGTAGTAGTAGTAGTAGTAGTAGTAGTAGTAGTAGTAGTAGTAGTAGTAGTAGTAGTAGTAGTAGTAGTAGTAGTAGTAGTAGTAGTAGTAGTAGTAGTAGTAGGGTAGTAGTAGTAGTATAATCCGTATTTAGTAGCAATTAGTATTTAGCATAA